TATCACAAAGTGGATATACTGAGGGGGTCGTTGAAACTTAATCACATACATTTTAGTGCACTTTCTCTTCCATTTTTGACAGCAATTATTTTATTTCTGGAAGTCTGCGCTTTGTTAGTTTCAATTCTCATGGGTGATAGTATGTGTTTGGAGGGACCAAAAGGGGGTTAGTATTCAGCTTCAAAGTGAGCAATTATGACTAGTATAGTATAGTTTTAGTATGTCCAACCGGACGAAAAGAAATTGGAAAGGAAATGTGCACACTTTATTCCATAGTTTATATACCAGCCCTTTTCTCTTTGATTCACGAAGGAGTAAAAGTTTAGCCTTTGATAAATATTCGAACGGAGAGGAATTTACTCGTCTAAATTTATCCCCAAGGTACCTTTTTTATTTGTTCCTAGGATGTTTTATTAAAGTGTTAAGGAAATGCCACAAATATTTGTAAACATGGTGCAAGCTGGCGCGAATGTTATGTGGGCATGCACATATTTATATAATCCTATGTGGAAGTGCAACTGAAGCACCAAGCTATATAAAGCAGGTAGATTCTACCTCAAAATCAACTATTATTCTAACATGATTTAAAAATATAAAGTATTTTCTACACAGATTTTCAAATGCATAGCCCAATCTAAAGTTTTAATGATTTTTCACAGTCAAATTATATTTTAAATTGCAATTTAAAAGGTTACTTTTCATCTTGGATCCTTATTATCCAATTAATCAAGTGATAATAACTAAATCCATTGCAGAATTCTTTTTTCGCGTTTTTTGTGCAAATGTTCTGCTTAATCAACTATTTGCAAACGGAAGTGAGGTGGGAAGGTACTCTTAAATCGGACACCACAAACTCAAAGATTATCTACCAACTGGTAGACGTCTTAGATTGGCCATTTATTTTAAAGATTTAAAAGCCTTTTTAACGGTCATCCTTATGATTACTTCCTAATTACGAATGGCACATATTGACCAGTATCTATATAGTCGATTCATGCTTAAACTAATAAATGAACCATGCTTAATTTGGAAAATAGTGTATTTCACTATTTCAGATAATTAACAAGCATTCTTTATTCTTTTCCCAAGTTCTAAAATAATATTGACCAAAGGTAAAACAATGCATTAATTATTTTTTCATCGTACTTGTTAATAACATAAAATTGGCCGAACTATATTTTATAGATTTCAAAACCTCGCATCACGCTCGCCTGTTTTAAAAAATAATTTCCATTCACTTATTCGATTTCAGAGTCTGCCACATTCCTTATTTAACGCACACCAACTTAAATGTCATCGTATTGATGGGCGCAGTAATATCACCTGGGGAGCTGACTACACCTTTAAAAATAAACTGAGGCAATGCCAAATTTGCACATAGGATGGCTGGACGTAATAGATGTCAAACAATCTTAACCTTGTAGCTAAAACGTGATTTGGGTAGGTGGTGAATCGATAAAGAAGTCCCATTTTAAATTCTAACGCGCTGACTACAATGATCAACGGAGGCGAGTCATGTCACACCGCCAAATGTGTACCGATGGAAATCGATCTCCTGACCGTCACACAATCAAGAATAAGAACCTGTACTAACAACACGAGATCAGAATTAGGATATTTGAAGTTGTGTAGAGCATCCTATAAAATTAATTTTCCGTCAAGAGGCACTAACGACCAGGCAAATTGAATTCATAGGCAATTTTAATATACGAATCACTTCTATGACGGGTTTTTTTTCTGATCACTTACAAATACTTTAATGAAATGAGAAAGCTGATGTTTCTTTGATAACATAAACTGATATTACTATATATTTATTTGTGACAGAGGTCATCTAAAATGTTGGTATGGGCTTCCATTTACAATATTTTCAATTCCGTAGTGCACTTTGGGCTTGGTTATAAGTTGTTAATAACTAAATATTTAAACAACTCAAAGCATCATCATCATTACAGTAAAAGTGTGAGAACGTCAACAGATGTAATGCTTTTTTAAATCACGTTAATTTTAACAGCAGAAACTAAATGAGCTTAGTTATTTGGTTAATGGAAAGTAATTATTTTATAAAACTTTAGCTATCATATAACAACATTTCGTCCAAAATTAGAAACACGCACCTCGAAAGCTAATGAATAAAACTTACTGATGCATTTAAAAAATACGAAAACGAAATAAATGAAAGTTTTGTTAGGTTATCAAACATTTAATATGTGTTTTCTCTTGTCTGGATAAGATTTTACATTATATAATAAAATCGCACTACTATAAGGGTCAACTTTACGTGAAACCTGGTTAACAGCGCTAAGGAAAACATGCTTACTTTTTTCATTCATCTGTTGGAAGACACGCTTTCATATAAGTATCTAGAAGTCTAATTGGCTGATTTTTACTATTGGAATATCTCAGGCACTGATTCACCTTTAAAGCTTTGGATTAACTTTTCAAATTAAACTTCAAAACATTGGAAAACCAGGCAATGACAAATCTCATAAGAAGTACGCAGTTAAGGGTAGCAAGTTGTGAGTACAAATAAAATTCTTGAAACTCTCTTCTAATTATCCCTTTCAACTTGTCTCACTATGATCGTTTCTATAGTGTTGCAGATGACGTTTTCTCACCATCAAATATAATGCCCTTTAGCACTTTAAACATAGCCCTAATATGTACTTTATGTTTCAGGACTATGTATTGTAATAAATGCTTCACTTAATCTTATTTTTTCAAACGCAAAATGGGCTCTAACCTTTATATTTTCCAATTAAAATTAAAACGGATTAAGTTCTTTTTTAGAAGTTAAAACAGAATATGTACCACCTTCTACTGTAGATGATATGAGCATATATTTATAATTTGATTCTTCTGCTTAACATCATCGAGATATTTTCCATAAGGAGGGTAGGGTTCAAAGGGTGATAGGAGGGAAAGAAATACAAAGATAAAGCTATTTTTCTCCAACGAGGTGGGGTAGGAAGAAGGGGGGGGGAGGTTGTTGGTTTCAATTTTCGTTTTCTTCGCTCTGGCCCATACGCATGAAGAAAACGTGGAGGAGAAAGAAATTGAAGCAAACAATGGCTATCAGCGAAAGGTTTGAACGAAGCCAGTCCTACGCACAGAAAATATGATATATTAGTAATAATTCATATTATAAGTGCACAATTTCTTGTTCTAAAGTCCATTTATATGCTCAATTCAATTTTTGTAGTCTATGAAAAGACAAAAACTCACGTATTCTTCCAATCTTTTTTGGATTCTTTTAGCTATACAGGTACTTATAAAAAGTGCAAATCAATTTAGCATGTGAGTGCAATTTCTAAGTGAAATTGAAGACATTTTAGCAGATGAAGTATCAGTAAGTGATTGGACGATTACAACTAATTATCACGTAGTCAGATTTAAATAGTATTAATTTGGTCATTCAAGCTCTAACCCCTCCAAATCGTCTAAACATTCAATCTACCCTTCTTCATCTCATTTGCTTTATTAAATTCATTCATTCAAAGTTCCTATCTAGAAATGATTTAGCCAACTGAATGAAGAAATTTCAAGCTTTTCAAAACATAGAGAAATTTCATGAATATCTTTTCTGAATTTTGACTATCTTTTACAAATTTGATTTTTAGCAATTATTTTTAAATTTAACGTTTGTGGAAGAAATTTCTAGTCATTGCCTTGTGCAATCGCGAATTTAGAATGCCTAGAAGCAGAGCAAAATTGAAAAATGGTTTTATAGCCGAATTTTTATTGACAAATGAAAATGACGATTTTTAGGTTAAAATTAACATTTGAAGAGAAAGCAAGCAGTAGAAAATTTTCATTTAAAATGTAAAAATTTTATAAATTTGCCTTATATTTACGTTAAATTTAACTGTGGAATTGTCATTTTTTATTTAAAGACATGTCTAAAAGTGAAGCTTAATATTGCCATTGCAAATTATACGAACTAAAACTTGTGTGAAAAACCATCATATGATAATACACCACTAGATAAGCATTTTTCTTAGTTTAAGCGAATGAATTTAGATAACAATAGGTCAAAATACTCATGTCCACAGTGTTTAGTTGCTGTTGATCAGTTTTTATCACTAATAGAAGGGTTCATCACAAAATATTTTTTCCCAAATTGTGCGGTTTGGCAAAATGGGTTTTATGTCATTTATCAGCTTAACTTTTAACGCCGTTGAGATGCGATAGAAGGACGATCGAAGTTCGTGTAGTATCTTGAGATGAACGTTGATATATTTTGATTAATAAATGAATTTTTAATAATTTACCAGGGCTCTAAGCATCTTTTGTTTCAATAAAACAGTGAGCGTTGAACCATGAACAGGCATATTTTAGAAATCTATCAATTTTGAATGAAAACTTGATTAATTATTAATTTCAAAATATTCGATGGCCCATTTGAAAAGAAGTTATTTTTAAGTACTAATAGGAAACATTTCACGTGCTTTAACATTGTAACATGAAAACTATATTCACTCAAATCAATGTAATTTTCAAGAGCTTATTACTACCACATATTGAAGGCTTTAAACGATGCTCACTAGCGTTTATTTTGCATTGTCTATACACTTGATGCTTTTTGAAGATGTATGAGTGAATTCTTAATTACCATAATTTAAAAAGGGGTCCAGTATTCCCATTGTTTTTTGAATAAGATATTGATCGGCAATCCAAACGATTAATTATGGTGTTTCAATTAAAAAAATATGTCGAAGATAACAGGCACACTAAGTGAAAATTCTGCAACCCAAATGCAAAGCACTAAACTTTTGACATCAAACAAATTCTTTACTGAAATTTACTACCCCGATTCCATTTGCTTTATTGTGTTGCCAAAATCCATTTTGTTTGCCACTTTGCGGTGGCTTATTTTAATAATGTAAGCATTTAAATTTTTTCACAAGGTAAGGTATTTAAAATAATTATATCTAATATGAAAATTATAAGTAAGATATTTTCGTCTCGAGCCAGGTTCTTCTTTCCCCAAATATTTCAACTCATCGAGAGATTTTAATCTGAACAGAACAAAAATATTATTACCCACTTCCAAAGTTACATGATTTTTTACCTAAACTATTTAGTAACTAGAAGCCGCCTGCTAGATCAGCCTAAATATTAACGCATAAGTTTTATTTTTTAGGACAAAATTAAAATACCTTTCCAACAAACAATGAAAAAAAATCTTTTTATCAAATTTTCATAAGTAAGGCTATAAATGCCTATAAGAATGAGTCGAAAACGGGGAGGTATTTCAAGGAGCATGTATAATATTCGCTGAATATTACCACCTTAACAGGCTTTAATCTAAAACTGTGGGTTAGAAACTTTGATCAATGAAATTAGGACTTTAATCCAATATATTAGCTATAAAGGAAAGAATTTGATCTTACATAATATGATCTTTTACTAATTCAATGCTAAAATTATATAACAATATATTACCATCGTTTAAATTCATGGTATTTGCTATTTCTCTTTAATATTTCAACGTAAAATTTACGCTTTATTTGACTGAGGTGAATTCTTTAGGGCACAAAAGTGTTAAAAACGCGTTTTTACTATGCATTTGTCTTTCATATTCCGACCATATTTGCAAACGTTATGTGTAATTTTGGCTCTTAAGATGATCACTATAGTAAAGTCATAGAAAATTCAAAGTGTGTTCATTAAAATCCAAAATAATTCAGGATATTTAAAAGGAAGATATAAAATAATTTATATTAAAGAGTTACGTTTTATTAAAAAAGATGAAGTCTTCCATATAGTTTTATTTCGCTTTTTTTGACTACTGACGAAAAAAGATATCTAGATTTTAAATCTATCATTCTATATAATTGCGTTTGGCATCAAATACATTGCTCTTTAAAGTCAAATTAGATTCAAAATGTTATGAACTGATTTTATCGACTTCATCAAAACAACCAATTTTGTTACAATTCATTCACAAAATTTTTTGAGTATAAAATGTTTACTACATATATTATGGTTATAATTCCCAATTTACGGTGCACTAAATTTTAGTTTAAATAAATAAATGTAAAACGTTTTAGAGTGATTCATGAATTTCTGGACTAAATTTCATATAGGGATAGGTTATTCTCAGATTAAGATCGGCTTAATATTTCTCTGTTTAATTTGAAAACGCAAATTCTGAACTCTAGAAATCTTATGAATCACTTCATCTTTGTATTGTATACTACATAAAAAATGTACATAATGTCTGAGGAGCGTTTTTTAGAAGCGCCAAAGAAACAATTTTGATTTTATATACATAATTAATGAATGAAATTCGAACTCTATTAATTTTTATAATTTCCAAACAAGGCGAAATTTTGCTGGATAAACTATCAAATAATACTATTTTTATTCCTAGCCCATATGTTTCTGCTTTTCTTTAGATTACCCTTTAGTAAAGTCGAATAAACAAGAAAAAGTAAAAAGTTAAATGTCATGAATATTAATATTTGCATTTCCTAACGAACTAAATGGATTTCCACGTGGTGCACTCTGGGCAACGTATGCTTATACGGCAAAAAAGTCCATTAACCGGCAGTTGACTTCAGAATCCAAACTACCATGTCATATTCGACTACTTCCGCAGTACTCATCTTAACCTTTTTTCTACCTTTGTGTCTGCCTCTTTTACATCTTTGAAACACTCTTCTCTTCCCTCTCCCACCCCCTCTCGATTTTTTCACTTTGATGATCCTTCCCCTCTGTGGAGCCTGAAGTCAACTTAAGGGCCAATGATAAATATCAAAACGCCTGTCATTTGATATAAATAAATAAATATTTTTCACGTAATTTTCGAGAGTGTAACTGAATATTTTGATGTATTTCACTATAAAAATATTTCGATATGATTTTATCCATTTTTTAAAATATTAATAATGTACTGTGAATGATGAATGAATTTAAGCTTATGTGCTATAGGGTAAAATTTTGAGTGAATTAAAGTTTGGGGGCAAATTGGGCAATTATTGGTTTGAAGTGTACCTGAAATACAACCTGTGTAAAAATACCTGATAAATCTGATTATTTACATTTGCCCACTACAGCCAAATCTATGGAGAAGACTTATTGTTAAATTTCATGCCTTTGTAAATTCGCTTTGTCTATTTTGTTGAATAAAGGCTTGAGTTCAGATTTCATGCGGAATCGAGTGACATTTTGTTGATGCGTTCAATCTACACTGGTAGGAATGACAGTCATATATAGTCCTTCTTTGCTTCATATAATATGTAGATTTCGACAAAAAAAGATATTCCACGTAACTAACCACGTTAACTCTATTACTCGAAAATAATTCTAAAGTAAATATCGACTTAAAAAATATATTGATAACTTTTCTGTATGAGACTATTGAAACGTTCACGGGCGCGCTCTCCGTGAAATAATAGAATCCACGTTCCTTCCTTAGTGAGCTCGTGTAAATCAAAATATCCACGTAACTTAACGTTTTAGCGGCATTAAAGTCTTTTTGCTTAAAGCTTCTCAGTAAAAGATTACTTTCACTTACGAAAATATCGGAAACTTGTTGTAGCGAGTGACTGCTGTCTGTTGAGGGAATGAGCTGACCTTGGTTGCGGTCGGGTTGGATTGGCGTTTCAGACATCAGTTGGCCAAATGATGCAACGGAGGTGGAGTTTGATGGGAATCCATTTTCAAATGGGTAGGAGGCAACTTGGTTTCCTCGATCTTTGGTTGGCTCCTATTCGACATAGGAACACAAGAACTATTAAAGAGCGAAAATTTCTTAATCGAGAAATTATCTTTCGTCATTTCAAACCCAGCCGTCAATCAAAAAGTATTTATTTTTTATTCAATATTTAAAAGGCTTGTACACTTAAACACACTTTTGGTCGAAAATACTAAAATTCAATCTTACTTAATTTAATGTTTTGATTTAGTAATTAATAGAATTTTGTTTTTTTGGTCTACTGACCAACGGTTCACTGTATGTTTATCGTCCGTTGCGTGGAACTACTTATTCTGATTAGATTTAAAGTTTAAGTTTTCTAGAGCTACTCAAAAAATATTCGGTTGATTTTTTCCAATAGGTTTCAGGTTTGTATTTCTAGCATAGTTCATTTTAACATAACTTGACTTTATTGTCTTTAATGGTGATATCTGCTCAGTAAAAACCACTCCCCCACTGGTCACTAATTTCGTAAGCCATTCTATCTTTAATTTTGGTCTGACCCCAAATTAGGATGTCTATCTCTCCACCGTGTATTCGAATTGACGCCTAGTTCACGACCCTGATTTCATTAATAAAGCAATATCTGGGTAGTCGTTCTAATTTTGGGCAAACAAAGATAGAAACGTAGTGGTTTTGTTCGGACGTTTTGGTCATTCAAGGCTATTTAAATAACAAGTCAACAATATATGGATGCAATTTAGCAATAATGAATTATCCGAGTAAGAGCAAGAGCTGCACATTGCAAAATTTGGTACCCGTTGGTTTAAACGGTTCTTTATGATCTGGAGTGATTGAATGGAAGTCGAGGTTGGCGTCTGGCTCAGAAGCATAGAACTAGAACACCTCGAACCTTAGACAAACGCACGGATAGATACAAATATCTTGAAATGGCTGGAGAATGGCAAATCAATAACTTTGTTGGTAATTTCAGTCACATCAATGATGATATTCAATATCTCCATGAATTATGACACTCATGCATTCTGACTATCTGTTTGGAAGAAGTAAAAGACGGAAATCATATTGATTTAATCAGTATCATACAGATAATTACCAAACCCTGTTGTATTTACAGATAAATTTTTAATTCACTTCCTATTTTAAATTTGGCAAACTGTTAACTTTAAATTTCGAGATAGTGGAAACTAGGAGGCATCATTAATCAACAGCCTTCTATTAAAGTGAGTGAAAACAAGTTGTGTAAAAAGATTTACCTTCTTTGAAAACGCTAAAAATGTCTATATCAAGAACAAAATTTGTACCTCATTTTTATTTGAGGACCAGAAAAAGAGCCTTGAAAAGAAGCCATATTCACTGTCCGTAGGAGAGACTACATCTTCTTGGCTTGGCGCTTGTTCAACTTCCGCAGGCACTAATTTATCCGGTTGGACTAGGATTTCGGGACGTGTTTGGCGGGCTTGATGCAAGCCAGTGGATGAAGTGGCCTTTGCGGTGATTGGTGGGGTAAGTGTGGAGTAGTAGTCGAAATGGTTGCTGAAAAGCGTGGGATTGGACAGCAGCTTGGTTAATGCGCAAGAAGGAATCTCATATTGATGTTCCAGTTCGTTCACTAAAGAAAATAAGTGACTCAAAAACAAATTTCTTCTAATAATAAATAATTAAATCGATATTTCAAAAAGTAATTTCTTTAAAATGTCATTTGGTCCCATTGTACTAAAAATGAAGCTCTTTTTGATTCATGTAATCAGGTTGATGTTAATTCATTTTTTTCTATCAGTTCTACCACCATTTTATTAAATAATTTCAGCATCAATTTTCTATTTAAAGTAAGCTTCGTGTTATTTGAATCACAAAGATATAAATGCATTCGTTTCTTTCCTTTCTATTATGCCCAATTCTTACACTTACATATCAAATTTTCTGCAAAGAGGTTAGAGATAATCAAAGCAATAAAATAGATCAAATGGAGCTAGTGAGTCATCAATAAAGTGAATGGCTAATTACTATTATTTCAAGGATAAATCACTGTTTTCATTTGACCTCCTTAAATCATCTGAATTATGAATGAAATGGTTGGTCCAATCAGCAAACAACGGCCATCTAGCTTAAATTCCACCATATCAATCAATAGCACATTTAAATGGTCTTTTTAAGTTTCTGGAAGGGCGATGAAAAATATATCTTATTGTTTCATTCATGCAAGTGAATATACGGATTCCGTTAACGAATATTTCTTCCATACATTTTAATGACATCATTGACTGACCTCAATATTATAGTAACTGGCTTTAATGGCTAGTCGTTTCGTCTTTGGAATTTTAATCTTGAACGCACTGGAACGGATTATTAAGTTCTCCCAATAGGACTTTATTCGCCACAAGCTTTCCGCTTTCAATTAAATGTGTGTCATGGCTATCCCACTTAGCAAAAAGGTCAACCTGATCAGCCACTTGCATATAACATAAACACAGATGCAGGTCATACCTCTCTATATATGGCCTTTGAATGATTGTGAAAAACTTGTCACAACCCCGAATGTATTCAACATCCAAATCTACTTGTGGTGTAGAATTCGTGTCAATTAAACCATAAAAATGAATTGTTTCTTCCACCTAACTTAAAGCATACGAAGTTACTGTTCTTACATTTAGTATTCAAATGGTTTTAAGTATTTAATTTGAAATATTAAACAACAAAAATCTTACTGTCCGGAATTTCAACATAGGATCCATCAGATTCATCCCCTCCAGTATCATTCTTCTTTTTTCTCGTCGGGAAGTTCCGCTTCGCACCCGGCACATGCAGAAATCCGCCTGGTGATGTATTCGATTTTCCAGTGGGATTTAGTGGTGCTTTTTGTCTGCGCCCACCTTCCGCAGCTAGATCAGATGGAAGCATCTCCACAGTCCACCGATCAGCCCTCTCTGCACTGATTCGGCTTTCATTTGTTGCTCCACCAGTTCCAGACTGACTTGCTGTGCTTGAAACTGAAATCGCTGCTTTCCTTTTAGCTGCTTCAGCTTTTCGGGCTTCCTCTTCCTTTTGACGCTTTTCTTCAGCAGCAGTGGTGGCAGCCATTACGGCTTTTGGGTCTTCACCCATTAACAAGCGCTAAAAACATTTCAGAAGACGATCAAATCATCAGTTTAATTGGAGCTTAGTTAGTCTGGTATCAGTAACTCACCTCCCGTCTTCTCAATTCCTCAGCCATTTTAGCAGCTCTCGCTCGCCTCTGAGCACGAACTGAACCCGCTCGTGAAACCATCATCTTTTTTTCTTGAAGCTCTTTAAGTTGAGAAGAGAACTTTGGCGGGAGAGTTAAGTCCTCTTCTGGTTGAGTTGCAGCATCCTCTTCTTCTTCGTCAATATCACCTTTGGTTAATCCACGCACAATTCCAGCAATAACATCTTTGGCTGATTGTAATGCGGCTTCAAATGTCGGACTTCCTTGTCGGGTGACTCGCATCATGCGAACAATGTCCTCTAGGTATTTGATCCCTGTTCCAATTTCCAAATATCATTTACATCAAACTCAAGTTAAAAAAAGAGATATAATGAAAAAAAGATTCTAACCCGGCTGCTCGAAATCTGGATACATCTCCTGAACAAGTTCTCGAGCTTCAAGCGAAAACTCCCGAGCGCAGTTTGCGGCAACTTTTGCCTTTTCGATGTAATCCAAGACTTTCATGCTGACTCTGTTGACAATAATATAATTCATTTATTAACGTAAAGCGAAAAGCCTGCGAATAAAATTGTGTTCATTAAACTACTAATTTACCAATTCCTTTGACCCTGTATTATGCCCACACATTATCAAAAAATGAATGGAACATTGCAACTGCCAGGAGACAGAGAAAGGAATTACTTGGAAGTTAATTAAAGGATGGAATAAGTATTTGAACTGGCGAGAAGAAATTCAAATTTCACAGGTAGCATCTATGATTAACTTGATTATTATTCTTCTCTTGGCAACATGACAGTTAAGTATGAACAGCCATCGATACGATGATAGTTGAATAACCACGAGAATATGGCTGTTGTCATATAGTTTGGATGAGTAACACACCAATCCCTCTTCCATTTAATTATGCCCTTTAGTTTAATTGATTCTTGCAGTCAAACGTAGTGAATAATCTAATTATTTCCAAAATTTCATCAATCATATATAAAGGGGGGGACTGAAAGAGATGAGTTATTTCATGAGTGAGTTATTTTCTTTAGGGGTGTCAAATTTAACAAATATTTATTGTTTTCTATCTGTTGAAGACACTTTTGGTTATCTTAGTTGCTTTGTGTTGAAAGTGAATTAAGATACTTTATGCTAGAAATCGTAGCGACATTGCTTGTTTGGTTTGCTTGGTGGTTACATACAAAACTTTAGCAATGGTTATTAATGTAGGTAAAATTTTCATGAAAATTGAACACTATTTTTCTCAGTTTATTTAATTTAGAAGGTAACGGTCAATACTTTATTTAATGAATAATTTTTAGTTAATGGAGATTCTCATGTTTTGCATTTGGCGTTCTTTTCTACGTTTGGTTCGTAAATTTTCGTACTGAAGATACTGTTCATGCAAATGCTTTCTCTCATTTCTAACAGAAGTACCCTTAACGCTTTTTCAGTTTCACTGAATATGCATAGGAAATTACACACGGGGCGGGATTAAACATGATGCCAGCTGTTCTAGAGGCAATTTCGTTGCACGCTTGTTAAAAATGACATTGAAATCTTTAAGCTAGAAGGTATTCGTTATTACTCATTGCACCTTCTTTCATACGTTAAGCCCTATTATGTACATTGACGCATTATGCCACATTGAATGCAACAGAAGTGGTATGGTTATGCACTCTACAATTTCATTTATCTAAATTGCACTCTCCTTAATGCAAAGATAGCAAAACGATAAATAATGTCAATACTGTTCAACTCACTGCTCTCTCGCTTCAATAGCCTTCTTCTGAGCCTGTTCTCCAATCAACATTGCCTTCTGAACAGTCTTGTGGACTTCCTGCATCACATGTCGGTTATAAAGTACCATATGGGGTTTATTTCCAGCAGAGAGGGCTAAGTATACCAGTTTTCCATTGTGATATTTACCCTGCTCAAAAGTGCCATCAGGAAATCGCGTGTGACCATATCCATGTCGTTGATTTTTGAACCATTGGCCGTAGTAGGCTAGGCCGTCAGTGCGTTCACAGACGCCATATCCATGACGAGCATCGGAGAACCATTCACCTGCATACACTTCCTGTGTATCCTCGGCTATTAAATCTAGTTCAAGCTGAAATTATTTAAAGAATGTAACCTTAATACATGAATCACTCAGCTCTCATATCTTACACAACTGATCGAATTCCTATTTAAGGTAAATGATTAAGTGGCGCTTCATATTACATGTCATTTTGAGTTTCCTTTTGGAGTTACCTCCCATTTTAGTAAAAAAGTCGTTATTTGTATTAGTGATTAATTATTTTTAAAGAATATATCAATGAATTTTAATTGTAGAATAAATTGATAAGTAATATTAAGCTGAAATTACCGACGATTGAGCATGACTGACAGTGGGCGAATAAAGTGTTGCAAACACACAATATTTTAACCAGTATTATGAGATGGCCTTTTGGGCACTTCAGGACTTTCACAAAGAAACAATGGACTTACTTAGAACTCAAATTGAATAAATTACATAATTTCAGGGTAGAATATGGTTAAAAGGTTTTAGAATCATTTTTTTTTTCGGTTATCGTGCGCCTTCATATTTCTTATTCTTCGATAATGGAACTACTATTCCGTGCAAGGGAGTAGATGTTTTTGATATATTTAGCAGAAAAGGCTATTAGCGCTACTGTTACCATCTCCTTATCTTTTTAAGACTGTCAGGCTATGTATACTGTAAATATTCCCGAATCTTTAATATTTGAACAGGATTGAGAAGATAAAGAGGGATAATATGTGAAAAGCCTAAAAGAAACTGAGAGAACCTCAAGGTTGATGTAAAATACTCGAATAGTTGAAGTTGATCAAAGAGAGTGTACATATCCCAAGCCATATAAGTGTTTGGCAGTACGGCAAAAAAGTCTATTAACTGGCAGTTGATTTCTCACTTCAAACTATCATCACCCCACTGTATGCCATATTCGACTCCTACCACAGTATTCACCTCCCCTTTTTTCTACCTTTGTGTCTGTCTCTTTTACATCTTTGAAATACTCTTCTTTTCCCCCTCCCCGCCCTCTCGACTCTTTCACTTCGATGTTCCTTCCCTATATGAAGCCTGAAGTCAACTAAAGGGCTAATGATAACCATCAAAACGCCTGCCATTTGATATCATAATAACAATGCTAATTCTTTAATTGGCACCTTAAGTAATTGCTTGATCCTAGGCACCCCAAGATGCATGTGAATCCCCCCCCCCCACCCCAAAGTTAAAACTGAAAGATTAAAAAACCTTGAGGTACCGTAACTACCAAAAAGGAAGCGCAAATGCATTTGAAATCGCATAGAAACCTTTGGCTCTAAAGTACTGTCTTCCAAACGAGCGGCGTCTCAGTTCAGTAAATCTTGTAGCTAATGACGTGCAACATTCTTTCCAACTAGTTAATTTGCTATAATCTTTTTCCAAGTAATACCATCTCCACCTACATTTCCATCCTTATTTATCAAATGAAAATGAGTACAATTTTGTTGACAACTGAAAATTCAAATGTCATTCAAATAGTCAAATCAAAACATTGAAAGACTGGACATTTTAAAATTGTCAATGCTGCATTGTTAGAAGTTGGTTTATTGTTCAGTTGTTATATTTATTTATAAAGCTGACTCATTTCAATTTCTTCATAAATGCTCAATGTAACAGATTTGAGAGACACTATAACTTATTACGATTTGATTAACTAAATGGATAAGTTCAATAGCAAAAAGTACTTTCCCATTCAGGGATAATTCCCGTTGCGTTAATTGTTAAACAAGAAATAATTCTTGCAGAAAATGAGAGGTAGCAAAACGTGATTTTAACCAGCTAATTGATGGTTTATTAGATATACGAGTTTTGGAAAACATGCATTTATACGGCTGACAGTTGTTTCCTATTAACTCTAAGCGACAAGTAGGATTGTGGAGCATAAGTGCTCTAATGGTGCCGCCCTTGAATGTTGTAAACAACTGTCAATAGGCTTAAGATGCTCAAAAAGTTACAAACGTCAAAATCTGAAGATTAAGCATTACAAATAAAAGTAAAATATCCCACGTAGTTGGGATGGAAAGCGCTCGTGGGTTTGCATTTCGTCTATTACACACCTTGATATACGAACAAATGCTATTTAATGAATTTTCCATTGAACACTAATTTTAGTATGAATAAAGCAGATCTAAGAGATTTATATATCTTCAGAGTTAAAACACTTGTTAAGATGAGCGTACCGTATCATTTTCAGCCGGAACAACTTTTGGTAGTGAATTAGAAGACATGTAGAGATCTTTCATTTGTTTCGCACATCCCGTAGGCAGAGCTTGAAGGGTCTCCTCAGGATATGTAAAGAGTATCGATAAGGACTGTGTCCGTTTCCTAGCAGAAACTTCAGGAGTTGTACAGCCAAACGGATTGGTTCGAGGGTGTTTGAGTTTATTCAGTCGTTTAATGAATAAGTCTGATCTTTTGGAAGAAAGCATGAAACCACAACGCTGAGTGACCATAAGACGGTATGTTGCAAGCTGATGCCTGTGAGTTATTGTACCATCAAGAAGATCGTTGTTATCTTTTGGAGCTGTATAGGGTTCAGGATCAATTGGTGTACCATCAGGGCATTCGCCACTTTCTGACACGTTGTCAATGTTACAGACTTCATCACAAGGGACATCGATTGATCCTTGACTAAGGGACATTCTACGACCTAAGTTGATATTCACCGGATATGGTAGCTTTCCACGTTTTCGGAGATCTTCCAACTTACTAGAAATAGAGGCTTTCTTGATTTCGGGGTAGAGCTCTAGTACTTCACCATAGGTTATAGATCGTCGAACGCCAAGACCTTCACGAATTCCATTCTTGTATTCTCCACAGTATGTGCCTGAATTAATCAAAAAATGCTGTCGTTTGCTTTTCTCATAATTATCTTTAACTAAAAGCCTGCCAAGTTCGCATTACTTATATTTGTTCGCTAATATGCTTTACATCAAAATTTATTTACATTTGCATGTTTAGAATAATTATGATAAATGTGAAACTCTATCAAATGCCTTTGACTATACTTCACTGGGTAAATAATGTAACCTTTTAGTCAAGCGCAATAACAACTCTATTCAATGGTCGGCAGCTTAACCCTTTGTTTGACCATTCGGAGTAGTTTAATTTCTTGTTAAATTACTTGCTTAGGAACATAAATCACAGTTCGTTAGTTTATTTTAAAAGGTTAATCGGATTTAGTTGAGCTACGATAATCATTCAGAGTAGAATTAATCGTATTTCAGTAAAATGAATCCTTGCTAATGGAGGTAATTATAGCTTTAGTTTCATTAATACCTTAGGGAGTTTAATTAAATCATTTGATTGTTTGAATAGAGGTAGTTATGAACAAACTTTTATACTCAGTACTTCCCCTACATTCTTCTCCATTCTCTTTTCCCCACCCTCTGATGCATTTACAACTATGCTAAGTAGCTTCGTGAACTTTGCAGCTACAAGTGTGTTGGCCCTCTAGTCCAATGCCTCATCAATAATTTTACTAAAAGTAAAAAGTTTATGGAGATCTACTAGGCACCATATTTGATAAAAGTCACTATTGATTCAAAATAAATAATAATTAGATATTGAACAAAAACTTACTTCTTTATCTTCCTCTGATTAGCTTAACATATTTAGGCAAATGATACACGTAGGTCTTAACGAGTGAAAGGAAAGATTAAGCTATAGAAACGCAATTTTGATATAATAAAAAAAGAGACCATTCCCCTTTTATTTTCCTTCAATTTTACTGTTCTACTTAGTCAACATGTCAAGGTGACTATTGACTATCCACTATTTCTACTTAAACAGGTTAAAAACACACTCCATTACTATCAATTGTTGTCTGAATTGATGGCACTCATGAAGCAACAAGATTTGATACATATTTAACAATTGTGAAGGACAGATAGTTCATTTAGTTCCATTTAATAGAGACAAGACCGAGACAATCGCGTTTCGCGATATCTTTAATCTTCATAATTATTTTAATAATTATGCATAGATATTTATAATAATAATTTCAATTAATAATATTCAAGCCTTGCTAAAATTTTATGTAAATTTGAAAATATATTCTCACCATTATCACCATAAGTTTCAACCCCAAAGGCCGGAAATCCATTCTCAAATCTTCCTTCAAATTTTCCTGTGGCGTTCTCCTTCCCCTTCACTCCCATAGTAATGAAATCATCTTCAAATTTTCCCATAATCACCCAATCTTCCCTGTTGAACACTCCAAATCCATTTCGCCTATTCATGGCCCATTCTCCCTCATACATAGCACCTGGAGCGTTGGGCCAGAGAAAAACTCCCGATTTCTCCGAACCATTATCCCATAATCCGGTATATTCGCCTTGTGATTTGTCTTTTGTGATTAATCCTAAACCGACTGCTTTCTCGTCCAACCATTCTCCGATATATATTCCATTATCTCGAAACTCATATCGTCCAGCTGGGAGGCAGACAGGTTTGAGTGGGGCTGCAGGTTCTTTGGTGGCATTGCTATTGTTCGTGGTGTTAGTTGCGGCGTTTTGACCAGGAGTATTTGGACCAGCTGAAGTTGCCGTGGATATAGATGCCGAAGGAGGTTGAACAATCTGTGTAACACCGAAGGCTGCACTAGACATTTATAAGAATAATTACAAAGATATGGGCACAATTCTTCCTCCTTTAGCGTACGCAACGTTCCCTCCTAACTACATGTGAACGAAAATAGTGAGGAATTAGGATAGTGGTGCCGCTACTTTTGCGCTGGGCAAGGACTGTAAGCCTATTGGCCGAAAGTCCCATCGATTGGGCTGCAGGCCAGCTGTAGCCTTGGGAAGTGCAAATAAACACGAGGCACAGAGGAATTCGGCTATAGACGGCATTCGTCCGCCATTTGTGTTACGATAACAGTCAGGTTTTGATTGCAGTGGTGTTTTTTATTTGAATTTACTTTTTTAAGATTAAACTTTAAAGTTGGGATATTTTAAAAGCCACAAGTCTTATGTGCAGCAAAGAAGAAGATTCAAGTTATCTGAAATTAAAATGTTAGGAATGTTTCGATTCATGCAATTGAATTTTACAAAATTATTTCAATCATCATTGTTTTTTAGTTATTATTGACGTTACTATTATATTCACAACGTACACGAGTCAAACCTGTAAATAGAGGTAGAGATGTGTTTCTTCTTTAAATTTGATTGAATTTCCCTTTGAGATTTAATATTTGCGATAACGCTGAAGTTTCCTGGAGCAGCAGTTAACATGTTAGTTCACGAATTCATCAGCCTCAAATTCGATCATCATTTAATTATATCAAATGGCAGGTGTTTTGATGGTTATCATTAGCCCTTTAGTTGACTTCAGGCTTCACAGAGGGAGAGGAACATCAAAGAGAAAAAAAGTCGAGGGTGGGAGGGGAGGGGACAGAAGAGTGCTTCAAAGATGTAAAAGAGACATACACAAGGGCAGAAAAAAGGTGAGGTGAGTACTGTGAAAGTGGTCGAATATGGCATACAGTGAGGTGATGGTAGTTTGGAATCAGAAGTCAACTGCCGATTAATGTACTTTTTTGTCGTATGAGTATACGTTGCTCAATGCGTATCACGTGGATGTAAGTCCATCGCACATCCCGATCCGATCATCATTGGGGTAATCTCTGATAGTGGAATAGCCAAACACACTGATTGAGTCTAAGGCGATGGTAGGATTTAGGCCGCTTGTCTGAAAAACTTCACGCACCACTCATCTGTTCAGTTAGTTCGGGAGTTTGAATAAATATGCATTGTCCATACATCGGCACAAAAAATCATTTCCGAATTTAAAATATTTATAAAATTACGTTAATCTCAATTATTCGTTTTGTTTTAGTCTTGTAACGGATTAGTTTCCTTATTAAGCCTTGACTGTTCCCGGGAAACGCCATAGCAGATCTTCTACTCGGTCACTCTCCAAAAATTAGCTATGCTGCTCCGAGAAGTAGGGGAAACGGACGTATTAAACAGAACACGTTTATTACAAATTGCGTGCTTTCACACGTACTAGCAGTTGATTATTTTCTTCACTGCTACATCCACATGCTTGCCATAACCTAGTCATGTTTTTTGGTAAGAAGCAATGAAGCCTCGCCCTAAACTACAACTAACTCACTGACCTTAATAAAAATATTAAATGCGCAGATTGTTTCAATTTGTTATCTGCACAAATCAACAGAGGCGGTTTCATAAGTGTAAAATTGTGTTTCAAGGATGGGCTCTACTTCATTCGACATAATCAGTATCCTCAGTATTCTCATTCTTCTCGCAGTTAACGAGCCAGAACAGTTTGCCAGGACGAGGGCATTTTGCGGTTACCTCGAAGGCAGTAATTGTCAGCATACAACGAAGAGGTCAATTCCGAATGTTTCGGCGCTATCCCCCATTAGAATGCTGAGGCTGTGAGGCGAAGATATAAAATTAGAGACGATTGGAAAGAAGGCATCTTAAGGATGTACTTACAATAAACTTAGTTAGTTACATGTCCGTATGAGTCATACTTTGCTATACTGGTGGGAGCGTCACATTATGGACGATAATATTAAATGATTGAGTTGAAGATGAATAATTGGAGAACTTTTAACGCACCAAAATGATGCGATTACATACCAAGCGGCTTCATGTTTAAGCTCCGTCCAATGCTAATTCAGCCCAGATGTGTCGACGTCACGTGCATTAGTACACTATATAAGTTAAAAAACCTTGCTATCAATTAGGGAAGCATTTGTGATAGTAAGTTTCGACATCCGTATACTGGACGTTTTTCCAAATACGCAAGAGTCTAATTATTTAAAATAGATACTTCTATGACGTCGGCTTTTTCGGGTAATTTATTACGCTGCCATTACTAGCAGAGCAGACTTGAACCAGTTGATAAGCAGATAAATTTTCTTTGAAATGAATACTACTGAAGTTTTCAAAGTCTCTTCACACTATCTTTGACATAAAGCCAAGCCAAAATCCCAATAAATTTCGTTGACCATAACTGGCGTAATATGGAGTCAATTAACAGAGATCCAGTGAAATCGAGTGATGGCTAATTCATTTGTATTGTACTGTCCAGAAAACACCTTCATTTAGAGCAAATTCTCCTCCATGAAAATGAAAGGAAGCAAAGTAAATGAACCCATATAGCTCAATCAACTGGTCATTCAACCCTGGATAATGAACAAATCCTAAAATTTGCATTTACTTAAATTTGGATATGGGGAAGTAGTCCGAAAGTGCTTATTAAAAATGGCATTAAGTAGCATCATAAAACTATTCGTTTAACTTAAACTTTCTTTGAGAAAATTATTGCGAAATGAACTGATTTAAAAATTTCATGACGGCAGACATTCGAGCGTGTCTATAAAGCTTGTTCCCATTTTCCAAAGAAATGCAGCGGGAAAATATTTATTTATTTATTTATATCAAATGGCGAGCGTTGTGAAAGTTATCATTAGCCTCTTAGTTGACTTCAGGCTTCACAGAGG